TAATATTAAGTGAAGCAAAGCAGACACACAAGCTTAAATATCACATGGCTTCTCTCATATGAGAAGCTCAAAATATAAATAGAGAGCAAAATAAAAGATAGATAAAAGGAAACAGGGAGATAGATCTTTTGCAAATAGGAAGGGGAACAGTAGATGGAAGGTAGGGATGGGAGGGAAAGTAAGAGGATTTAAAAAGAATTAAGATATGTCATGGACATGTACCAACTACCCATAGTGAATGGCTTCTCTCATACTCATTTTGTATGCACAAGCATATGCTAATAAAAAATCTGAACACATAGGCAAGTGTGGTGGTGCACACTCCTAATTCCAGCACTCCCGAAGGCTATGTCAGGAGGCCTGCAAGTTCAACCCCAGTCTGATCAACTCAGTGATACTCTGTCTGAAAATAAAAATAAATAAATAAAGGGCTGGGAGTGTACTGAGTGTGACATCCCTGAGCTCAGTCTCCCCAGTACCACAAGGGAAAAAAAGAAAAGGAAAAAAAAAAACCTCTTACAGTGACATCGCGAGGCAGGCTAGAGTAATGGACTGGGGCAGCAGCCTTTGGTGCTCTGAGAGCAGCAGTTGTAGTGGAATGTGGCAATAAAGGTGCTGCAACCAAGCAAATGCAACGCTAGCCCATACCACAGAGGGAGGCAAAGCTGGAAAGCCAAAGGTAAGGCAGTGTGGCACTCACAGAGAACCAGGCTTCAGTTTCCTGTGGGCTGCATTCCCACAGATTGAAAGACTCCCACCACAAGTGACAGACTGGTGGATGCTACTGCGGCAGTGCACAGGAGTCATTTCTGGAATACTGTAGCTCAGTGTGGAGGAGATGAGGCTGGTAGGTAACACTTCCAAGGATCTCAGAGTGACATGTTGCGTATCAGTTAGTACCATCTGCAGCTTGGGATCTATGATGAGGAAGCGTGTTCGCTTATCAGGTCTCCCAAACCTCAGAGTAGTGTGATCTCTCACAGCTGCAAATTGCTGAGTGGGAACAAAAGGAGAGCAAATTGCTGACAGGGTTGCTTTACCCAACACTCTCCTTCCTTGTCATTGTGGTGTAACTGAGACAATGGCAGCAGTGGGGATATGTGGAATATTTTAAATTCCACATGGGTAAGCATAGACACTTACTTTGGACAAAATAAACATTTGTATGTTTCTACACTTTTTGCGCGGTGACGCGTATGCTGACTGGCGATGTTTCTCTCCTGTGTTTCATGCAAAACTGGATTTGACAAACCGTTTTCAACAACTTCTTTTTTCCTTTTTAAACAGAACTCCTATCCCCTATCCAAACCTGCTTTTTAAAACTATGGATTCAATTTGTGGAACTGCTTCTCTCCTGTAGTATCAGGTCAGTCCTAGTTATCTTGGAATACTCTCCTCCCTCATTTCCCAGATCCACTCAATTGCGTGTTTCTGATTCTGCTTCAGAATCCCTCGACCTTCCCTTCCTTTGCATTCCCACCACACCAGCTCAGACCTGGAGGTCCCAGGGTGCCACACCTCAGTTGCACTAGAGCCTCCATCTCACTTTCCCGCCCTTGTCTGATCCCTTCTATTCTGCTCTTGCCACCAGGGCAACTTTCTGAAACAAGGGCTGTTTCTCTGCTCCCTGGACATAGCACATGACTCCTCATCATGTAGGAAGCAGTCCGCAGGCTCCCTGCCAGCACTCACAGCCTCTCTCCACGCTGCCTTTCCTTCTCCACTGGACACCCCTGCATGCCCGGTGACAGCAGCCTGGAACTTTACTAACATGGCTGTGTGTGCGCTTTCCCGCACCCTCTTCCCCACCACGACCCAATGTCAGCCATTCTGCTGACTCCAGTCGCTCTGCCGCCTACGTGCCGCCAACAATAACAAGGCGCCCCGCGTCCCGGCTGCCTCGCTTAACCATGCCAGCTCGAGGACCGCCCGCACCGCGAGCACACCGTGCGGGTTGCGAGGGTGAGCGCTAGCGGGACACAGCCCCCGCGTTTCCTCCCGCACACGAGGCGGCCTCTCCTGGGAAGGACGGCCCTCCCCGTCCACGCCAGCTCCCCGGTCCAGAGCGGGCGGGCCTTGGGGCTCTGAGCTCTGGGGGGGACCTGTGCGCGCTTTGGCGCTCGGGGCCCAAAGGCAGGTGAGCAGCGCCCGAGTCCGCCGCGCGGAACGGAAGCCTCG